GGGGGGGGGGGGGGGGGGGTGTTGTGTTGAGTGGCTGGACTTTGAACAGAGGCAGGGCCGTTGCGTTTAAATTCCTTTTTCTCTCCCGAGTTTTTCTTCCCATCCGTGAAAACGGCTTTACTGTGTAGAGGGAATTTTCCAGTTACTTCCACGTTCAAAGACTCTGGCTGGTTTACAAGAGAAACACGGATACATCTGTAAAAATCAATCTGACATCTGCTGAATGCAGCTCCTCCTTTCTTAGCCATTAAAGCAGAAGTCTTCAAACTTGGCAACTTTCAGAAGAGACTACGAGAGAGTAAGTTATGCCGGCTGGGGAATTCTGGGAGTTGAAGTCCCCAAGTTGCCAAGTTTGAAGACTTCTGCTTTAATGGGTAGGAAAGAAGGGGCTGCATTCGGCAGAGGTAAGATTGATTTTTACAGATGTATCCGTGTTTCTCTTGTAAACCAGCCAGAGTCTTTGAAGGTGGAAGTAACTGAAAATTCCCTCCACACAGTAAAGCCGTTTTCACGGATGGGAAGAAAAACTCGGGAGAGAAAAAGGAATTTAAACGCAACGGCCCTGCCTCTGTTCAAAGTCCAGCCACTCAACACAACACCCCCCCCCCCGGACTCAGAACAAGGGAGCAAACCTCGTTCCCTGACCTACATCCCCCATTACGTAACCCCGCATCAACCGAACCCCCCTGAGATTACGTAATAAATCTATTGTGAAAGGAGGACTGATGAAAAGAGGAAGAAAACGCGGCTTCTGGAAAAGTACATCCTGTCTTCTGATGTCGCACCCGGCCCGAAATTGTTGACACGCCGCCCCAGGCGGTCTCAATCACGGCCCAAGGGAAGCTCACGGATGACCCAAACAACGTTTTTAAGGACACAACAGAAAACAAAACAAAATTTAAGAAAGAAACTTGGCAGGAAAACCCGACATTTCGTCAGAAAGGGGCATCCCTAAGTTTCTAGTCCTCTTCTTTGAATGGAATGTCCACATTCAAAAAAAAAAAAAAAGGATTCACTGTCAATCATCCTGCTTTGCTCTACAGCTTTCCAGCGAGAGATTTTTGGCAGGATTTGAAAGCTCTCTGTGTGTGTGTGTTTTCCTGGCGGGGCTGTCCCTCACCTCCTCCTCTTCCGCCTGATCAAAGGGGTGGGTGGGTGGAGGCTGTCAGGTGACTTCCCGAAAGAGCTCCAGCCCCACATTTCTCAGCAAGAGAGCCCTGGAAGGGAACTTCCCCCCAATCGTCCCTCCTCGCATTTCAAAGGGCTTCATAGTCAAGAAGGGAGGAGGGATCCAGAAGCAGAGTGTTAGACCAGGGAGATCGAAAAACCTGGCTACCTTAAAGAGGTCTGGACTTCAACTCCCAGAATTCCCCAGCCAGGAATCTTAGCCCCTTTTAAGACGTCCGTCGGGTCTGCAAGTCTTAGTTGCTTTTTGGATCTTTGGCCTGCTACACTTTCTATTACTCCACGATGCCTTTTCTATTGTAGGGAAACGGGAGTTAGTTAGATGATACGTAGCCATAACAACATTCTTTCCAGAAAGCCACGGTCATTATCCTTTGTCTCTGCACCTGACCGGAACTGGATGGGTGGAAGCTGCCAGCGTGGCAGTGGGAGATTGGACCGTGGGGTGGACTGGTGGGTGTGGGGGGCAGGATCTTCAACTTTCAACTGTGTTGCCGGCTGGGGAGTTTTTATTTTCATTTTCATACACTCACATATATACTGTGCATAGCCGGCGCCATACAACATTAAACAATAATCACAGCAATTCCTCTTGTCAACAGTACCCCCCAAAAATAGAGACCTCTTACACTCTCCATACACCTCTTTCTTCCCCCCCCCTCCAACTTTCTATCTTCCCTCCATCATCCCGCTCTACTCTACTTCCCCTCCCACTCTACCACTCCTCTCTCCCGATCCACTCCCTTCTTTCTCACTC